CACAAAAGCGCGCCGTGACAACCATGGTCATGAAGCACCATTGGATACTAATTAATACCATTTAGACATTCTGAGACATTATTTGAATTCTCTGGAGGTCAGTTAACATTAGACAAATCGATCTGGACCCTTTCAAGGCTCAGGATAAACTTTGCAAACTGCTCCATATTTGCCTATTTGATGTTGATGTCAGGTTTTGACAATGCTGCTGCAATTGTTAACGCGCCAAAAAATGGAAAAACTCCTTTTTGTCTTTTATAACATTCTCTCCCTTTTCGGCATATGTTGCAAGACACGTAGGCAACAAGTACATATCATCACGCGCTTTCAATCAATTCATTCATGCACAAGAGTAGTTCAATTCAAGTTATCTTACAGGCCATAAAACAAAGAAGCCACAGGCGACTTCATTCAAAAGAAAAGACTACGTAATTAGGTAGGACTTCTAACAACCAATTCCATACCAACAGTATCAACAAAAACAACTTCCAGTAGAACTTCTCCCCCGCCAAAGCTCCCCCCTTGCTTGCCGTTCACTTTCCTTTGGATTGCAACAGGCCAAAAAGTGGGAAGGTAGGGGAAAGTCTCTTCCTCCTCATTGGAATTAGCTTGCGGATCATCATCAACGAGGGCATCGGAACGACGGGGCATATAACTTAGAACCTGAGCCATCCGTTTCCGTACAATCAGCTCACCAAACATGGCATTGTGTTTCTTCATTATCTCCTGCAGCAGGGTATGGCAACAACCCAAGCGGACATTCATGTCAAGAGGCTCACTTTCGAGAAAACCATAGTGCAGCCTCTTCAAGTTCAGCTACGGCAGGAATGGGGCAATCATACAAACTTCTTTATCCTCCTCCTCAAGGATTCCATTGGATTGTAAGAACAGAGTGATTAAGGCAGAAAACAGCAGGCAAGTCGACTCGGTGCGAGATTCAAGAGTTAGTTTAATCATCTTTTGCATAAAAACATATCCAAAGTAAACCAACTAAATGTGTTTATCAATAGCAAAAATGAGATTACCCATTTTGGTGTTGATTGAAATGGCATTGGCAGTTGGAAAGATGTTCTGGCCACAAAGCCTATACAGGCAGTATTACTTCATAGACAACATGGCAGTAGTAAAACCCGATCTTCCAAACGAGGTGGTTGTCCTTCAGAAAGTGATCTAGCAATTTGGCTAATGGACTCTTCAAGAAAAACATATGGCATTTTCGATGCATCGTTCTCCAGGAGTCCTAACAGTGAGTTGATCACTGTTGGGCTGAATTCGAGTAAACGTCCATGAACATAAATTTTGTTAAACCATAGAAAGTCGGAATCACAAATCTAAGCTCAAATTAGCATAGAACTCCTTCCAGACCAGTAGCCCAAAACAGTAAATGTTTTTCCTCCAAATACAAACAAAATCCACGCTCAGTGTATATATGATTGGTGAGCTGAATTTCTGCAGCAATTTCTTGAGAGAAAATTGTTTCGAAAGCATACTGCGATTTGAAGCATAATAGTAGGACTCAGAGAGGCCTTCTCGACTCGAAGTGATGGGGGATCCACTCTTCGTGTAATACCCCGTAAAAATAATTGCTGTAAGTTCGCCGGAACTTTCGGAGTCCGATGCCGGAATCGAAAAATTTTATTTTGGGGCTTAAATTGTTTTGGGCTTTTGGTGTGAAAAATGTTATAATTTAATTAAAATTAAGGATATTTGAGTGTTTGGGCCAAAGTTGGACCCAAAAGGTATAAAAAAATAGGTATAAGCCCATGTCGATTATTTTAAGAAATAGAGAGAAGCCGCCGACAACAACCTCTCTTCTTCTCCTTGGAGGTTTTTTTCTCCAAAACTCTTCATTTTGATTTCTTTAGAAGCCCTTATGCATCTGCAGTTGGTAGCTTTATGTATGCGATGGTGTGCACGAGACTAGACATTGCTCATGCAGTCGGGGTTGTTAGTCGCTACATGTCAAATCCGGGGAGAGAACATTGGGAAGTCGTCAAGTGGATACTAAGGTATTTAAAGGGTACTTCCAAGATGAAGTTATGTTTCAGAGGCAAAGATGCGATTCTCAGAGGGTATTCTGATGTTGATCTAGCTGAATGCAAAGAGACACTTAAGAGCACTACAGGGTACATCTTCATAGTGGGAGGAACTGCAGTTAGCTGGATGTCTAAACTTCAGAAAAAATGTGGGGCTTTCGACAACAGAAGCTGAATATATGGCAGTTGCCGAGGCCAGCAAAGAGTTAGTTTGACTAAAGAACTTCCTCCTGGAGTTGGATAAAAGGCAAGCGGATTATTCACTTCACTGTGACAATGACAGTGCAATCAAACTTGTACAGAACCCGGTCTATCATGGAAAAACGAAGCATATTGGGATGCAATATCACTTTATCAGAGGATTGATAAGTGAAGGGACGATGAAGTTGAAAAGCATTTCAGGTGCTATGAATCCAGCAGATATGTTCACAAAAACTGTGACGCTGGACAAGCTGAAGTTATGCATGACTTCAGCTGGTCTTCATGAGAAATGACGAGAAGACCGGGGCAATCAAGTGAAGCTGAGGATTTTACGGAAGTACAATGGAGCGCAGATGTTTCGAAGCCTTCAAGTGGGAGATTGTTAAGTGTAAGCTTTTTTAGGTATTTAACCCTAATGGGCTTAGGAGTTTGGGCCCAATTGTTATTAACCCTAAACCTAATCTATAAATACCCTCTCTTGTACTTGTAAAAAGATAGCCGCCTCATATTGCAGTAATAAGAAAAAGTTCTTGGTTCCGTGGACGTAGGTCGATAACCCTTATCGGCCGAACCACGTAATCCTTTGTGTTCTATTTTCTTGTTTGTGTGCGTGTGAGTGTTAATCCTAATAAACAAAAGCTGGCTCAAGCGCTTAGCCTTATGCCTCGACGCCGATGTTGATGATGATGATGCCCTTGCTAATTACGGTGATGAGGAGGACCATCTCTCTTGGCTTCCCGCCTTTTCCAAGAGGGAGTTGCAAGCTAGGGAGAGATCTACTGAAAGTGTTTTATTGCTTTGTTTGCTTATTGATTTATTGATCGGTCCTACTGGTAGGGAGTTGGTTGTTAGAATTCCTACCTAATTAAGCAATTCTATTCTGAATGAAGTTGTTTGCAACTTTTTTGTTTTATGGTATGTATCCTAATTCGAATTGAACTACTATTACGCATGAATGATTTGAATGTGTCTGCGTGTGTGTCGATGTGCTTTCTGCCTATTGTGTCTTGCAACATAAGTCAAAAAGTGGGAGATTGTAAGAAAAGCCAAATTAAAGCTCTTCCCTTTTTGGCATATGTAGACATCTGCAACAGCGTGACACATCAAACAGGAATTGTTTCGAGCAGTGTGAAATGTCAAGGGAAATTAATGCATTGTTCTCTGTCCTATGGAGAATACATAGGATGTCTAATGTCTGAATGACATTAATTTGCCTTGATTAAAATCCCTCAAAGGCTGCTACTTGACCAGCCTACCTGCAGGGAAGAAAAGTGATCAGCGTGCTCAGTTTGAATTGGGTTTAGAAAGAGAAACAAGTTATGTTTAACTTTTTCTTATCTGATACTTCATGATTTGGAGAAAGAGTGTTTCTATAGAGTTATGAAACCGTGTCAATGAAAAAGAAAGAGAAGATCAAGCCGAAGAAAATCTCATCTAGTGAGTAGTCTTACTCGTAGTTAGGCTGTTAGTCTGTTGGAGTTAATACTGTAGTATAATTGCCAAGATAGGTTTAGCTATAGAGTCCTGGATTGGAATATTCTAGATGTAGGTTTCTATACCGAACTGGGTCAACAAATCATGTGTGTTGTTCGTTTACTTTCTTGCACTCGTCCAACCATAGGTTTGTGCACTGATAACACACTGATGCAGTAACCACGCAACAACCACATGTTAAAGCTGTGTAAACCGCATTGGTTTCATAGTTCTGTTGCGTAGTACACTCGGAGGCATTGGACCTCTTTTTGAAGGATTATTCCGAGCCTCATTATCCAACATCCTTCAACCAAATGGGACCTTAGCTTATTTGTATGCAATTAATAAAATTCCTAGATAAACTTAAGTACAGACAACATACAAAGCAATTAAACACATGTAGGTATCTAAGCCATAATGCACCACGGAAAGGAATTTCAAAGCCTGCACAGTGAGCACAAACAACAAGAACGTTTAATTGCATGAAAGAACAAGAACGAGGCCCTGAATATCATTCTCTTAAGATCATACACAGTAAGCATTGATTTTGTCTGTGTTGCACCAAGCTAAAGCATCAGAGTGCATTTATAAGATTCCGATTTGTAGTTTCTCTGCCATGCTTTAACAACTAGTTAATAATTTAAGCTATAGTTGAATCACCACATTGCTAAAAGCATTTATTACAGTTTAGTTTCAATAACTCCCTTTTTATAATAGGGGATTAAAATTGCTCAATCGCCGTACAATCATAAATTAAATTTTCTCAAGCAACCTTTTTCTCGGGACACAACTTGGACTCCCACTTAGTCAGCTGAAATTCAACTAGGTGCAGTAGGCAATTCCAGTGACATCATACAACCTATTCATAATAAGCATTTCCTTTCGTTACCTCCACAAATCGTTATTTGCCAGAATACCACTTTCCTTTTAATCCCATAGACTAAAATGCTTCCTCTATTGCAAGTTCATGCTATTAAATGACACGTTCACAGCGACTCTACATTATGGACTGTCCGTATTTTAGTGTACAACAATGTCAAATTTGTGTCTGAGTCGTGGTGACAGTAAAAGGAGCCATTGCTTTTAAGCTATAAAGTCAAACTTGTTGAGGATGTTGTCTTGACCTTTGTGATATAACATAAATTTCATATCCCCTTGTCATAAGTCTTAATTATCATAAAACCTTTACACCATCAACTATTGGATTAAAACCGACTATAAAGAAATCTCAATTTGAATTCAGACTTTGAAAAATGGAAACTTTAATAATAAAGAGTTAAAACAGCGAACCTTTAGCTCTTGGAAACTTGACCTCAGAACTGGAAGCTGAGTAATCTTAAATTCCCCAGGACCAACTGAGATACCTCAAAATACAAAACATCAAACACACAACAGTACTTGCATACCATTTAAATGTTCAAATTTTGTACAATGTGCAACAAAAATTTTAAAATAAACAAATAAAGAATTAAGAACATTTGCAGCTCATTAACTGATGAAACTAATAGAGACTTTCAGAATGGTGTTGACAAAGAAGAGGCAGACATGGATAAAATGGGGCTAACAATTTACCTTTGCTCGACACTTTCGAGGTACTGAAAGGGAGTGACGGCAACTGGCGGAGCATTTATGTATCTATCTCTGCAGAGAGATGGCAGCTTGATCCAAATGCATCAATTAAGTGTTCGAAAGCCCCTATCAGATGTCTCTACAGATGGAAAATTTATAATCATCGAATCAATCTCTACTTTTCATTAATAACTGCAATATCAATAGAATACACTGGATTCAAAATAGAACACAGTAAAAAATAATATTAAAAAAAAGTATACGCACCCTAATTTCCCCCTTTCACTGCCAAGTAAAAAGACATCAACTGAACTGGGTTTTGAGGTTCTTAACCTCGGATTGAGAGTGAGAGTGAGAATGAGAGAGAGAGCGATGACAGGAAAGAAAATGGAGGTGGTAGCATTATCTTTTGTGCGCGACGTCTTATCAATTTTAGAAAGGTCGTACTTACTATTTCTTTTTTCTTTAAATTAAATTTTAATTTATATTTTAAACAAAGAACAAATCTTCATGTTTTATTCGTCCATTAAATTTATTTATTATTTTTTTTAATTAAATTAATTTCTTTATTATCAATTTTTTACAATAAAAATTAATATTTAAAATATAAAATATATTATTTTAAATTAAATATTTAATTTTTTTGAATTTTTGAAATAAATGTTTAAATTTTTCTAAAATTTATTTTTTAAGTAATATAAGTATAGAAAATTGTGTAAATAATATAAAATATTATTTTTAGTAATCAAATTTTTAAAATATTGCTGCAGATACATACCCAATATTTATTTACAATACATCATTATTTTTACTATTTCATTTTTTAATTATTAATTAAATTTTTAAAAAAGAATATCTCCACTTGAGTATAATCGTATAATTGTGTTTGATTGGGGGTTTGGATTTTGAGTTGGAATTTGAATAGTAAAAATTTTGAATTTGAATACTTGTATGATGTGATATAAATAGGTGTTGATGTGATGTTTTCAATGTAAAATTGATTTTTAGTATATGTAGACACTAAAAATATGTCTAAAATCAATTAAATATTATGTATTTTGAAAGAAAATAAAATTCCAATAAAATAAATATATGGTATTTAATTATGCACATATGTTAATTTTTGTACAATAAATATCAACTATTAATGCAAAAATATGCTTAAAATTGAAGATATCGTACAAATATTACGTGCATAAATAGAGTCATAATAAATTTGGCAGCAAAATAAATTAATCTTGTCAATAAAGGAAGTGATCTTGTCAATAAAGGATGTATATAAATTAATATATTCCAAAAAAATGCAATGATATAAAGATTTTGGCGAGAAAGGAAGGTGCACAATCAAATCCGTCAAGAATAGAAAACAGCATCAGATGGAAAATGAAAGATTATAAAATCCTTCCATACACGTGGCACCACCCGAAAAGGAAGCCAAGGCCACACATCCCCTATAAATAGGAGACATGGTCAATTCATTTGGGACACCGAAGCTGCATCGAGGATACAAGCAAAGGGGTAAGTCTCTAAATAGATTCTGTATTGTTCTTCATGTTCTTCGTGTCCTTCGAAGCGTTCTTCATCGAAAGTCACTAATTTGGACAAATGATCCAATATTGGTTGACGAATCGATGAAGTTAACGTTCTTCGTCGTATGTCCAAGCCGGATGAAGGATCAAAGCTCTCAAAGCCGTCGAGGAATTCATCAAAGCCAATGGAAGGTTTCCAAAGTTTCTCTCAAAGCTTCAAGATATTCATCGCGTTCTTCATAAAAGGCGCAAACTCGGCCCTCTTCGATCCAAAATTCAAAGGGACACGCCGCCAAAAGCCTTATGGAGCACCAAATCCACCTCTTCAAGGATCAAAGCTCTCAAAGCCGTTGAGGAATTCGTCAAAGCCAAGGGAAGGTCTCCAAAGTTCATCCCAAAGCTTCGAGGTGTTCATCGCATTCTTCACCAAAGCAACAACTCGGCCCTCTTCGATCCAAAACTCAAAGGGACACGCCGCCAAAAGCGTTATGGAGCACCAAATCCACCTTCTCAAAGATCAAAGTTGCGGATTGTCTAAAGAAGACATCAAATCCAAAGCCGACGATCGAATCGCCCACGCGGAGACCAAAGTCCTCCAAAAATGGCAAAGCCAAAGCAAATGTCAAAGTCGTGGATCGTCTAAAGAAGACAACAAATCCAAAGACGATGATCAAATCGCCAACGCGGAGACCAAAGTCCTCCAAAAGCGGCAAAGCCAAAACAAATGTCAACGTCGCGGATCGTCCAAAGAAGACAACAAATCCAAAGACGATGATCAAATCGCCAACACGGAGACCAAAGTCCTCCAAAAGCGGCAAAGCCAAATCAAAGATCAAAGCCTCGGATCGTCTAAAAAAAGACATCAAATCCAAAGCTGACGATCAAATCGCCCGCACGGAGATCAAGACTCTTCAAAAGCCGGCAAAGTCAAACTGAAGACCAAACCTCTTCGGATCAAAGAAGCCATCGAAAATCAAGTTGGAAAATAAATCGACCAGGAAGGAGAATCAAAGGACCCATTGAGAGAATAGGACCCGCTTTAAATTCAAATCAAATATAATTTGTACAAATTTTGTGTTTATTAAAAATAACACAATTTTTTGGCCACAGATTTTTGGCACGTTCAGTGGGACCTCTCTACCTTTCATCTCTCTTTCCGACGAACTTTCAACAACCAATGGCTTCCTACAAGATCAAGACTTCCAACGTTGCGTCAAAAGTTGCTGCTCAAGCCGCCGTCGCCGCCAAAGAAGTTGGCGCACCCATCGCGTCCAAAACCTCAAGCGCTTCGACAAATACTGGAATGACAACACGAAGCATGACCAAAAGAGCATTGTCGTTATCTGAAGACACTTCTCCAAAAATCACAGAGCAAAGTCCACTCTATGAAGAAGACAACAACTTTAAGAGTACTGCCGCACTGTTCACCCCTCAACAAACTGCAAGTCATTCAACCGCATCAAGCTCTGCTCCGGTGATGACTACCAACGCTTCAAATATTGAGGACCCAAAGATTGTGGATCAAAGTCTTCTCTGCGAGGAATATAAAAGCTTCAAAGGTACTTTCATGCCACCTACTCATCGGCCAATTTCAAGTCATTCAACCGCATCAAGCTCTGCTCCGGTGATGACTATCAACGCTTCAAATATAGAAGATCAACTTGCAGCATTGGCCAAAATCGTTGAAGAAATGTCTCAACATATGCATCAACAAGACGCCCTCATTGAAAAACTTCTCACAAAGATGGACAAGCCTGAAGAAGCCGACCATGCAACTGAAAAGCAACAATCTTCCCCAGCGGTCCAAAATAAAGCGGCAACATTTGTGGAGTAACGTCATGGCAAAGAAAATGTGGCGGAATTAAATCCATTTCAAGGATCATCCAACTCATTCATCCATATATCCCAACTTGACAAATACATCAAGGGGGCAATCAAAAGAGAATTCGAAGGGAGTTCAAGGCCGACGCACACTTACGCGAAGCCTTACACTGCAAGGATTGATGCCCTCAAAATGCCAACGGGCTATCAACCACCAAAGTTTCAACAATTTGACGGCAAAGGCAATCCAAAACAGCATATAGTGCACTTTTTCGAGACATGCAACGATGCTGGAACATATGGGGACCTCATAGTCAAACAATTTGTGCGGTCACTAAACGGCAACGCCTTCGAAGAGTACATCGACTTAGAGGCTGGTTCCATCGAAAATTGGGAACAACTAAAGTACGAGTTCTTGAATCGGTTCTACAGCACAAAGAGAACCGTCAGCATGACCGAACTCACCAACAGCCGCCAATGGAAAGATGAACCGGTAATTGACTATATCAATCGCTGAAGAAGTCTAAGCCTCAACTGCAAAGACCGTCTGTCCGAGGCTTCCGGCATAGAAATGTGCATTCAAGGGATGCAATGGAGCTTGAAATACATCCTACAAGGGATCCGACCCCATACTTTTGAAGAACTCGCCACTCGCGCTCATGATATGGAATTGAACATGATGTCTAGTGGAATATATGGACCGCCTACTGAAGATTTCTCAGATGACGAGAAATTCAACACTTCAAACAGTGGGGGCAATCATAATTACAGCACTCCTGGAAACGAGGATAAATTTCTTCAATCTCCTGGAAACGAGGATAAACTTTCTACAACACTCTTGGAAACGAGGATAAACTTTCTCCAATCTCCTGGAAACGAAGATAAACTTTCTACAGCACTCCTGGAAACGAGGATAAACTTTCTCCAATCTCCTGGAAACGAGGATAAACTTTCTTCAGTCTCCTGGAAACGAGGATAAACTTTCTTCAATCTCCTAGAAACGAGGATAAACTTTCTATAATCTCCTGGAAATGAGGATAAACTTTCTAACAAGACTTCTTAACACGAGAATAAACTGTTTAACAAAAACAAACAAATTCAATTTGTTTTGAACTACGCTATGACTTGATTCCTTCACCGGATACGTAGGCAACTTGGAATATAACTCCGAGTTCAGTCAATTATAGCAAATATAAAAAAAATAAAAATAAAAAAAACAAAAAGCCCTAAAAAATAAATTGGGCAAAAAAAATCCAAAAAAAAATCGGGCTTAAAAAGAATCAATTGGACAAAAAAAAATCTCATCCAAAAAAAAAGAAAGAAAGAAAAAGTCCTCTGAAAAAAATTGGCTAAAAAAAAATAAAAAAATGATAGCCATAAAAAAGAAATCAGTCAAAAAATAAATTGACTTATGTTTCGAGACTCATTCAAGCCTTAAACGCTTTGCGTCGGCTTAAAAGAGTCTCGAGGGGGCATTTTGTAGACACTAAAAATATATGTCTAAAATCAATTAAATATCATGTATTTTGGAAGAAAATAAAATTCCAATAAAATAAATATATGGTATTTAATTATGCACCTATGTTAATTTTTGTACAGTAAATATCAACCATTAATACAAAAATATGCTTAAAATGGAAGATATCGTACAAATATTACGTGCATAAATAGAGCCATAATAAATTTGGCAGCAAAATAAATTAATCTTGTCAATAAAGAAAGTGATCTTGCCAATAAAGGAAGTATATAAATTAATATCTTCCAAAAAAAGGCAATGATATAAAGATTTTGGCGAGAAAGGAAGGTGCACAATCAAATCCGTCAAGAATGGAAAACAACATCTGATGGAAAAGGAAAGATTATAAAATCTTTCCATACACGTGGCACCATCCGAAAAGGAAGCCAAGGCCACCCATCCCCTGTAAATAGGAGACATGGCCAATTCATTTGGGACACCGAAGTTGCATCGAGGATTCAAGCAAAGGGGTAAGTCTCTAGATAGATTCTGTATTGTTCTTCATGTTCTTCGTGTCCTTCGAAGCGTTCTTCGTCG